TGCGTGTTGCAATTCCACTTCGAAATTGATATGATTGTTTATATTTATTGCTGCCTGTAAGTAAGTGTAAGAAATTACTCGAATTTGTGTTATTTTTCTTACATTATTATTATAGTTGCATCCATTTTCCGCACAATATTAAGCCCATACATAATTTCGTAATTATCTTTGATCGAAAAGCCAGTGACCGAAATGCACCCCCGGACTTTATTTACGAGGAATTCGACCTTCCGTAACGAAACCAAATCGGGGGCCACGAACCGCGTGGTGCTCCCATAAATCGCCGTGCCAACCTGGTTCGCTGCTGGTTCATTAAAACTTCGGTAGATTTTGGTAAAGATATGATTAGATTCAGGGTAGAACTTTCAAAAAATATAACGAGAATATTTGCAAACAGTCGATGACAATAGCAACCCGAATAATTCTATAGTAAGAAGCGGATCAATATCGTCGCCACCCCATTTTCCTGACTTAACCCTAGTAGGTTTTAGACAGTTATATGGAAGAATAATTATGTGCGCTATTGATTACCTTTTAGAAACGCGGTTCAACTGCCGCATTGATTGAAATGAGCGAAATAAAACAATTCGAATTGCAGATCCAACAGTTTTGGTCAGAGATGGGTATAAATAAAGATGAAATATGTAAAAATCTATATAAAAACTTGCAGATTTTATTTTGTCCTCTAAACCTTTCCAATCAGAAACACCATGTCTGACAACATATAATTTAAAACATGTGAACTTTCTAGAAGAAGGCACTAATCAAAATACAGTCCTTAGTATAATATCGGTTGAAGATTCGTAATTTCTAGTCCACATTAAAATCCTTGCAGGTAATGGTATTAGTGACTGAACCCGGCTCTGTAATGGTAGATATCAAAGAAATTGAGAAACCCACACTTGAATTCACACCTATAGTTTGGATGCTACTGTTTGCTCGATTCGCGTAATTAATTTCGACACGCTGAACCAGATTTGTCGTCTCGATACTTTCCGTCTTGAAATTTACTGCAATTGAGCATTTGTTTTTTCACCTCGTCCTGTATATTAGGTACTTTCTTCAGCGTGTTCCATAACAAAAAAGGTACAAAGCATGAGGTTATCAAAAGTGTTCTGCAAATCATTTGAGACCAGTACAATGTTAGTCGTTTGGGATCTACTAGGTGGACAAACATTTTCTTTTTAAATTAAACTGAGCACTAATTGTGAAACACAATTACGTACAAAGTGCCGATTTTATTGAGAAATTTTTGAATGGATTTTTGATTTGGTTTATCCAAAGTTCAATCCCAGTTCAAAAAATAAATCTATTTTAGTCAAAAATTATAATTACGCATCCTGTAATTTCCAAGCCATCAACCTTATCTCAATTTCGTTATTCAGATATTGTTCTGTACTCCAATGATTATTGAACATCCTGAATGACTTCCTCTATACATTTTCAAACATTTTGCTTTTTGTCACATTTTTTATAATTAGTTTTGTGACTGATTCACTTGAACTAACATAGCAACAACTACCTACACCAATAAATTTTTTAGAATGTAAAACTACGAATCATCTTACTTTTAGCAGAATATGTATCAATCCATTACGAAAGTTCCTTTTTATCTGCTGCACAATAACCGTACCAAACAGTTAATATCTTCTTCATTCTTATTTTTTCAATTCATTTTAGAAATTACAAATGGTTGACAAACTTTAGAAATTTTCGATAGTAAAACGAAAAAGCATAGATCTAGAGCTGGAAATATTTTAATAATTTTGTTAAAATAAAATGGAATAATTTTAGTTTAAATTTTGAGAAAAAAAAATTGAACTAGCTTATATTAAAAACGCACTTGCATAATTACAATTAGCAATGCTTGAGATCCAGAGAAATTTTAATGGAAAACTATGCTTCAGAGGAAGATTGAACAGAACTAGATCAAAAATGTGATGTATTCCTGAAAGCAGGAAACATTAGCACTCAAAATGGTACATTTATATTCAGAATGTATTTAAGAGAATCAGCGAAGTACTTAGTTGAAAAATTACGCTACATACGTCGGAAGATATAATTGATTCAAATCCGGAAACACTCGTGCTAGGATTAAACACGTAATTTATTTAAGAATGATTAAAATTCTGCATTCTCCATACTATTTATTAATTAACTTTTAATTCTGAATGTGGTATGGAAAAATGTAAGAAAATGCAGACAAATAGAAGAGACGTTTTTGACCATCGTAACATAATACATAAAGTACAAAACATGAATAATTAGGTAAACTAATTTTCAATGAAAACCAAAACCTCCACAGAAAAACACCTTGAGAAACAATTTCAATGCAAATTGTAAGTAATATTAGATAAAATAACATCTCAATTACAGCGTCTATCGGAAAACCCTTGTTTTCGTTCAAAATTAACTTGGTTTTAAAGTATCAGTATATTCGTATATTAAATAGGAAAAATTATGGAAATTCAAATCCAAATACTTCACTACTTTTTCAAATTTATATTGTAATACCAGTTCGGGTTTAAAAAGATATTTTTTTTATTAACAGAATCAACTGAAACGTAAATGTAAGTATCTACCTTATTTCACCATAATTACGCGCGCAATTGATAATGTCGAAGTAATGCATATTAAATAGCAATAAGTTTTAAATTGGACATATAATTATTAGTTACTGCATAAATATCGTTCCTATTTTGGTAAGATGTCCTTATAGTTGCATTAAAAATTATTGCTTTTGCGAACAAAGAACTTGGATGGTAAATTATTACTCTTATTAATATGATGCAAATGGCCGATCCTGCTAAAACTTAACTCGGATTAAATTTGTGAGCATGTGGCGGCAATTTTTTCCCAGTGGTATTGACAGATGTTTTTCGAGCTACTTTCTTGTAAATTAGCTTGTTAAACTATGCATATGTTTTTACATAAGCTTGATAATACGCAGGAGAGTTTATCTAGAGCGATCGATCTTATTTTGCGATCGACCGAACAGACTAATGAACTCATATTTTAATAAACTCGATTTTCCAAAATTGGGTGTTATTCTGTTACCTACTTTGTTAAGTAAAGTTTCAATGGCATCGGGGGGAATGACTTGCGGTTTATTACTGTTTTAAGTTTTTTGTCGTTTTGAAATTTTTTTGTTCATCAAAGAATATTTAGCATATTTTGATTTTCGTCAGCTTTAAAATTATGTCGGTTTTCAAATTTAAGTGTACGTAAAAAGATGAATCGTAAATATTCTTTCACCCTCAATTTATTATTAAAAAATATGGATTCATATGCTGATTCCTGAAGCTGCTAACTGGTGTTAACTAACACAGTCTGACTGTTTATAATCAGTCATTATATAGCTTGAAAGAAGTCTGGAAATGTATAATTAGACAATGACTTGTAAAGGACAGGTAATTACAAACTTAGATATTGTCTATTATAATGAAAATCCACCGTGCCAACACCAACATCTAAAATTGGTTTAAGCCGCGTTATCGGTTGTGTTGCATCAGCCCTGTCAGGAGAATTAGACATGGGGCTCCGCCCCATTTATGTAAGCTGCAGATATGGATCGTATTACAGACGTAGTTACGACTACCCTCTTATTACTATATTGCGTCCTATTGGTACGATTCTTATTGAATTTTTCGCTGGGTGGCATGGGGGTATATAAAATAAAGATCGGCTTAAGCGGACGGATGTACACCTTCATCCATATTGGAATCTTAAATGTAACCCTTAGAGCAGCAAGAAAGCAAAAGTCGCAACTTTTTTCTTGAAAAATATTACAGATCAAAAACTTACAGAATTGGGACGATTAGGGAAGAGCGAATTACAGTAACAAAGTAAACGAATTTATGTAAACGTTTATTGATAGGTATCTGAGGCGTGCGTACTGGGAAAACTCGATATAGTTTTCAAGACTTTTATTGCAATTTCATTTCATTCAGTTTCATAAAATGTTGCCTTTATCTAAGGAAAAAATATAAATTAGAAATTTCTAAACATAATTGACTTTGAAAGGACATCTTTCGACTCATCTTAACAGAAAGATCCGAACGAGGTCCCAACACAGGGGAGAAAAATAAATGAAAATGTAAAGTTCTTTCCAAGTTCGGAATTGTAGTTGAATCTTAATGAGAAAGATTTTGGGTTAAATAAGGGGTAAGAAACGAGATTAACATTGAATAACAAAATGCGTTGATAGTTACGCCAAAAACCGACTGCTAAAAACAAGAACTATTGATAAAAATTTCAGAAAGTTCTGCACATTTATGTTGGGCAAAAAACGTGAACTATGCAGTGAAATTTTAAAATAGTCATTATCAAAATGAATATGTAAACGAAACAAGAAAAGTAGCTTCACTTGCAGACATTGAACTACTCTAATTAACTTTTACATACCAGGAACTGAAACATTACAAAAGTAACGAAACTTCAACAAATTACAAGTATCATTAAAGCTCATATTATAATCTACAATTTTACAATTGCAAACATAATATCGAAATAATGGATGACTCAGGGTACAAAAAATTTTCTGCCACTAGATGAAGCAGCGATTTATAGCCAAATCCTGATCCAATAATATTTCATACCAGTACGTCTTACGAGAGACTACATAAAGCGACGTTGGAGTACAATTTAGCTGACCCAATTAGGCAATATTAGTCAAAAAAGCAACCATAATCCCTAATCATAATGAAGTTACCATTATGAATGAGCTGCCAGGGCGGCATGAAGTATACCCATAAGCCATTGGCTGTTAGTCGGCTTAATTTTGCATGGTCACGAATGTTCTGTCGCAGCTATTTAGATATTAATTAATTATATTGGAGACTTGTTTTGTTTGAGTTCAACCGACTTGAAGGTGCACGAAATTGATTTAAGTTTCAAATTCCCACCGACAGTCACCAACGCAGCAACTTCATGAATAATTTCCAAATATGACCGTTTTTCCTTCTATTTAATCGTCACTTTGCAATACTCAATCATAAACGCTCTTTATTTTTATCTCTCCCCTTGGCTAATTTTAGTTGTTGATATAAATTTTCTTGTTTCAGTTGCAATGCACAAAGATAAAGATGATCCAGTCGGGCTCCATAGGCAACGGGATCTAACTGCTTTCGACCATACACCTATGGACGGAGAAATGTTTTTGCAAGTAGGTTTAAAAGCATGTCGAGTCATTTAGCCATCCGTTGCTTTCAACTGTAATTGAGTATTGCATATTAGAAAATATATACATATTTTCCTAAAAGACGCTTTTTCCTTCAAGGCTCTCAACGGCTTTCTGATGATTCTCACTTGTGAAGGGGAAGTATTTTTCGCCACCCATAGCATAGAAGGATATCTTGGCTTTCACCAGGTATATAACTCGGAGCAATAATGCTCAAGCTAAGCTATTCGAATTAAGTTGAAACTTTTCCCATGAAGCATGAACTAGTTTTATTAAGAAATAGGGTTTGTTTTAGTCCGATATCGTGCATCAGTCCGTCTATGAACTAGTCCATTCTGAAGACCGGGAAGAACTTCAGAGGCAACTTATGTGGAACTCTTTTCTCCCACCTGAATCTACTAATATGGGCCTCCAAGACGTTCTCAACCCGGAGAATACTCATCTTTTAGAGCGCAGTTTCACTGTACGGTTTCGGTGTTTGTTGGACAACACATCGGGATTTTTAGTAAGACTTCTGTTTCTACCTGATGGAGGTGAATTTTTTACTACACACTTGCGTTTTTAGAGATTAGATATAAGAGGAAGGGTGAAAGTTCTGCATGGCCAAAATCGGAAATCTGAAGAACCGCCTTTAGCACTTTTTGCGATTTGTACGCCATTTGGACCGCCATCATTACTGGAAATCCCCCAAAAAGAAGTGATGTTCAAGAGTAAACATAAGTTGGATTTGGCGTTGGTATCCATGGATCAGAGGTATGAAACTGTAGAAATAAAACGTAATTTTGTATTTAAATTATTTTCATTTTAGGGGAAAATTGTTGCTGGGGTATTCAGACTCGGAGTTAGCG